AGCCTCCTCTACGATTTAATCACCACCCCCAACACCCCACCCCAAAACCATCATCTGGAAGTTTGAATTTCAACACAAGAGTTGGGGGGAAAAGAAACATTAAGCTTGTAGTAAATTTCAATAGAACTTACTGGAACTCAAGCTTGGTAGCTTACACCAGAAATTAAGCACTCAGGAGGCTAAGGACAGAGTATCACAAGTTCTTAGGCTAGCCTGAGCTACACAGTAAGATCTATCTATGAAAGAAACAACAATCCACCAAAGTCATTTACTAAAATAAAACAAATAACAAAAATAAATAAAACTCTCTCTCTCTCTCTCTCTCTCTCTCTCTCTCTCTCTCTCTCTCTCTCTCTCTCTCTCTCTCTCTCTCTCTCGCTCCTGCCTCTCTCCCTGAACTGAGAATGTCAGTTCTCAGTCTGTGGGATCCCAAGAAGAACTGGGAGGTCTGGAGGCACATAAGTACACTTTACATGCAGGGTGAAAATGCTTACCATTTTTGTATATATGCTTTGGTTTTTTGAGACAGGGTTTCTCTGTGTAGCTTTGTGCCTTTCCTGGAACTCACTCTGTAGACCAGGCCAGCCTCGAACTCACAGAGATCTGCCTGCCTCTGCCTCCTGAGTGCTGGGATTAAAGGCGTGCACCACCACTGCCCGGCATGAAAATGTATTTTTATCACTGCACTGGATATATACTTAAAAATAACCCTCTTTATATATAGGTTTTATACCAGATATCTAAAATTCTTTCCTAATGGAGGACTATGTCAGACTCATTTCTATCTCAATATGCCATATGCCATGCATATTACACAAGTAGGGCTTTAATAATGACTGCTCTGAGTATTTTTAATGGAAAATAATTTTTCCATACAATAAATTCTAATTACACCTTGCCTTCCCTTGTCTCCTCCCAGATCCTCCCCAGATCCTCACCTATCCCCTCCCATACCTTCTTTCTGTCTTTAGAAAACAATGTATTTGAAGCAAAGTCAATTTAGCACTGTCCTGTAGGCACTGGAACTATTTCTTTGCCTTTGGATGTCTAGCCAGCCGCAGTTTATTTGCAGAATTATAAAGAATAAGAATCTGGTTAGGAATGCCCCTGCACCCCTCCCCCCTGCAGGTCTATTCAGGGCAGCCCCAGCATCTAAACACAGTAGATACTGGTAATTACAGCCCACCTGAGACAAAAGGGCAGCCTAACCTAATACGACCTTTGTAAACCAAGGAAACAGGTGCCTTTGCAATCTAAAATCCATCCAGTGCCTTGTTGTGTATTTTTAGCATTTAGTATTTACAAACAGAGCAGGGGAAGGTTTTGAAGTTGACGCCTCCTGCCTCTCTCCCTGAACCCCACTCTGTGAGAGTGTCAGTTCTGAGTCTGTGAGATCCCAAGAAGGATTAGGAGGTCTGGAGGCACATAAGCACACTTTACACGCAGGGTGAAAATGCTTACTATGTCTAGGTTTGAGCCAGCATGAAAGCTTCTACTGAAGTCACTGGAGACGGTCCCCTGGAAGCCTAGGGACTCAGCAACCCTAACCTGCAGTTTCCAGGGGCCCAGATCCGGTGAACATAGGATATCGGAGACTGGAGGCAAGCTCTGATCATCTAACACAGAACTTCAGGATGCCTGCTGATGGAAACGTTGTTGTGGAGTAGATCTCAGACAAGAAAGCTGGGGGAAGGATGGTCTCAAGGACAAGGAGTTAAGAATCAGGAAGTAATGATTAAATGCTGTCTTTGTTGGTGGTGACAAGTAAGGAGAAATGACAGAATGCAGCAGTCCAAGACAAAAATAGACACAAAGAGAAGTGTTTATGTGGGAGAAGAGGTGTTTATTTAAGACAGGTTTAGCCGAAGTGTAATTGGCCTAGCTGAAATGAAAGAGATAATTTATGTCTCCCAATCTGACTATCAGACTATAGAAACAATAAACCCCCCGAAAATGGGAATTTCCTCAGGAATCTCATGCTGGGAGAAGCAAAAGGTGGCAGCCAGATGGGGGACATGCCTCCTGGAGAGAGATTCTACCAGGTCCCCACTTGTCAGACCACCTCACGGGGTGAAGGCCAGGCAAGGGTGGGCAGTGGCGGGCAGGGACCACACTGTGACCAGGACTGCTCAGCTCTGCTATACTGGATCCCTGATTAAACTTCAATTTCACTCCAGAACCCTAATACTGACTTGGGGGATTTAGGAGATCTCTTTGCCTCACTTCAAAATATAGCCAAATTGAATAAATTTCCCAAAAACAAAAACAACAAAAAGTTGTATCTTTTCATTGACTTATTGAGGATAGGTGGTCAGACCTGATGTGGGATCCTGGCTGTGACTCCCCAAGTTTGATGGCAAAAGTAAGTAAGGACTGACTGCAGAAAGTTCTAGTGCTGATAGAGTCTTTTAAAGGTTTATTTGTGTGTGTGTGTGTGTGTGTGTGTGTGTGTGTGTGTGTGTGTGTGTGTGTCTGCCACATGTGTGCAGGTGCCTGCAGAGGCCGAAAGAGTGTGTCAGATTCTCTGTAGCTGGAATCGCAGTTGTGACCAGACAGATGTGGGTGCTGGGAACTTCCATGTCCTAATATAGGCTTCCAGCAGAAGGTGTGGCCTGGATTAGAGGAGGGTCTTCCTACTTCAAATTAAGCAAAAATATCTCACAGGTGTGCCCTATTTGGGGGGCTAATTCCAGATGTAGTCACATTTACAGCAGAAAACAGCCATCACAATAAGAAACAGGAAGAGTTTGTAAGAATAGAATTCTAAGAAACTGCTGCGAGACACACAAAGATGCTGTAAGATAATGAATGCTCTTGCACAGTGGTTAAATAAAATGCTGATTGGCCAGTAGCCAGGCAAGCAGACTAGGAGAATTCTGGGAAGAGGAAGGGCAGTGTTAGGAGACACCAGCCAGAAAAAGAGGAAGCAAGATAACAAGGCAGAACTGAGAAAAGGTACCAAGCAATATGGCTAAATAGGGATAAGGATTATGGGTTAATTCAAGTGTGTAGCAGGAATCTTAGAAGGTCTTATTAATAAAATCAAACCTGAGGCCAGTTATTGGGGTGAACTCTGGAAGATCAGAGAAACAGAACAAGCCACAGCCACCTCACCTTGCCAGTTCCTGAGCTGATTCTGTTTCCTCAGACTGGAAGCTTCTGAGTCCTCATTGGAATGGATCTCAGCTGAACTGCTGCTCAAAAGCCTAAAAACTTAACCAGTCAAATGTTTCTAGTTTCTGGTCCTTACACCTTATATATCTTTCTGCTTTCAGCCATCACTCCCTGGGATTAAAGGCTCACTTCTTGGGATTAAAGACGAGTGTCATCATGCCTGGCTGTTTCCAATGTGGCCTTGAACTCACAGAGATCCAGAGAGATTTCTGCCTCTAGAATGCTAGGATTAAAGGTGTGAGTGCCACCATTTTCTAGCCTCTGTATCGAGTGGCTGTTCTGTGCCCTGACCCCAGATAAGTTTAGCAGGGTGCACAATATTTTGGGGAACACAATACCACCACATAAGTGTAAGAGCTAGATAGTAGTAAGCCTGAGCTAATGACTGAGCAGTTATAAACAATATAAAATCTCTGAGGGATTATTTTATAAGTGTCTGTGGGTCTGCAGGAGGCCAAGCAGGACCCGAGAAACCTTCAGGCTATACAAAGAAAACAAGTAAAGCAATACATCTTCTTTCTGTACGAAAGATTACATGGTGCAAAAGTATCATTGTTCCTAAAGTTAACCCCTGATAGCAATGCGTTACAGCAAAACATCAGTTAAAACTCATTGCAATATTTTTAGAAGCTTTTCTTAGCAAGTAATCTAAAATAAAATATAGAACATACTATATAGTCAATCAATTATCAGTACTGATGTCTGACCTGGAAGAAAAGTGTGTACGCCACTTTTCTCTTTATGGCATACACTTTTCTTCCAGGTATTTATGGCATACACTTTTCTCTCCACATATACAGGTCCAAAGCTTAATCACTAACTTCGAAAAAGAAGCTATTCCCGTGACTATGTTTTGAGCCTTAGACACTGCTAAGCCATAAGCAGTGATATGTAGGACTAGGGTGGGTGACAGTGTGGGGAATGTGGCTTCTCTCATTCTCAAAGACAATAAAGGTCATAAGAAAAATGTGCTGTGGGAGTGGTGGTACAGCCTTTAATCCCAGCACTCTGGAGGCAGCGGTAGGTGGATCTCTCTGAGTTTGATGCCAGTCTGGTCCACAGAGTGAGTTCCAGGATAGACAGGGCTACACAGAATAACCCTGTCTCAAAAAAACCGAAACCAACCAACCAAACAAACAAAAACCAGGATCTCCTTTCTGGAGAAGGCCATATTAGGGACAGGTATGTAACGTAGCTGTGTGCTTGCCTAACACACATAAGATCCTAAGTTCTAACCCTGCAGCACACCAAACCAGGCACAACAGCACACACCCATCATCCAAGCTCTCAGAAAGGGGAGGCAGGAGGATCAGAAGTTCAAGGTTATCCTTGGCTATATTCCAAGCTTTAGGGCCTCCTAGGCTACAGGGACAGCCCATCTGAAAATAAAAACAAGAACAACAAAAGAGAAAATAATTTTAGAGTAAGAAAACACCAATGCAAAAATGCTTACAGTAATTTCAAGAAGGCTTGTACACACATGTGTATGAGTTGTATTCATGTATATTTCACTAAAGAAATTCTTTAAAATTAAGTTGTTGAATTAAATTAAACATTAAAATAATATACAATTTATAGAACAACCAACTTAACTATTAATTCATCTGTCTGTACATATTATTATTCATAATCCCTTTTGGTAAGTATCAGTTACTTCTGGCAATGTGACTTTTGTCTAATTTTTATTTTCATTTCTATATATCACTTTTTAAAATGGTTGTTTACACCTATAACTTCAGCAAGTGGTTTATAAAGATTCTTTTTAAAAGCTAGTTTCTTCTAAAATGGAGAAATAAAATAAAGCACTCAGTTTCTTTCATTGTATGTACTTTATTTGACCACATTCTAGCAGATGAAAGGCCCAAGCACACGTGATTCTCACTTGGGCCCACCTCTTCATCCCTCCAAGGAGATAGCTAGAAGGAACTGGAAAGGGAACAGTTTTTCCAAGCTTAGCTTCCAGGGACTAGGGGACTTGGGCCTTCTTTACTGCTGCTAGAACTTAAGCTCAGAGCAGAATTGTTTTGTATCCTGTTGAAGGATGATTCACAGATGAAGTCTTGAAGTCCAGTGAGAACTATGGACTATGAGGCCGGTGAGGTCCAAATGCAGAAAATAGGAGATCTGATGGTGTCTGGTCATTCAGTCTTCAGGAAGTGCTAGGCAAGACTGCTGTGTAGAGGGAATGAGAGGTCAGGATGCAGCAGCCTGGCAAAGACGGTGCAGACACATTCACCAGATTTTCTAAGGGTATGTGTGATGCACAATGAGACCAGAAGCCAGCCTGGACCACGGAAGCCAACTCACCTCCTGTCCCAACCATCTCAATCACCCCCTAAGGATCCTTCCTACACATGAACTTTCACCAAAGAGCCTCAGAAATGTGTGAAATCCTGATTTTATCTCGACTCTGTGAAGAACTTGGACTAGACACCACACTTTTCTGACAGAGATAATGAGCCATAGAGAAGTCTGTTACTTCTAGGGCTGGTGCTTGGGGGAGGCCGGCCTCAAAGGCTCTGTACAGTAGACTCCAGATCCCATGGGCTCTAGAGAGCCTAGTCCTGATTCCATTACCTTGAACAAGCTACTGCCTTTACAAGTGCCTTGCAATGGACATGGCCCAGTAGTTCTAAAGAATTCTCTTTTCACAAAAGGCCACTCTAGCACTCAGTGGGCTGAAGCTGGGGAGGACATTGTCCCTGGCTGCCTCTCTAGTCACAGGCTCTATGGAGATGTGGAAATTTGCAGCAGTCCTCAAATTTCATTTTGCTCTGACTGCTGTGGATATCATTCTATATAAATAAAACACTGATGGCCAGTGACCAGGCAGGAAGTAGGTGGCCAGGCAGGAAGTAGGTGGGACAAGGAGAGAGGAGAATTCTGGGAAGCGGAAGGCTGAGGGAGAGACACTGCAGCCACCGCCAGGACAAGCAGCATGTGAAGACGCCGGTAAGCCACCAGCCACGTGGCAAGGTATAGATTTATAGAAATGGGTTAATTTAAGATAAAAGAACAGTTAACAAGAAGCCTGCCACGGCCATACAGTTTATAAGTGATATAAGCGTCTGAGTGATTATTTTATAAGTGGATTGTGGGACTGCGGGGCTTGGGGAACCTGGAGAGAAGCTCTCCAGCAACACTGACCCTCTGGATTCTTTGCCTGGTATGGCCTGATTCCTGGACCCGACTTTCTGGGCCACCAATGTCTTTCCAACATGACCCATCAGCTGGTACTCAACCATTAGAATCCAGAGCTTCGTTCTGATGGACAGAGCTGCTAAGGAAAGAGCTCAGAATAGCTGAAAAGATTTTACAATAATGTGAGCATATCACCCTGACTAAAACCACCCAAACAATAAAAACTTGATGATTCATATTATGCTCCAACTCACAAGCATGAAAATAATAATGTTTTGCCTCTTAAGATGGCCAATAAGGATGGATAGCACAGGACAGTCTGTTTTATAGCTCAGGGCCGACTTAATGTGACCTGACTGTGTTGCCCTCAGTGCATTCTACTGTAGAATAGGTGCAGAGAGAAAAGCAGAAGATGGAAGCCTAAGGAGGGGCTCAGCCCCATGTCAGCTCCACCATCGCCCACCTTCACACACAGCCCCAGCATCTTCATCATGTCCACAGTCAAAGGGCTCAACCTGGTCACATTCAGCCAGGGTCTTCTCTGTCCCATTGCACAGGGCCACCTGAATGAGCACAGGCAGAGCTTCATCAACTACTGGTGGATACAACATGGCTATAGGTGTGTGCTTGGCTGCTCCACAGCCCAGCTCTCGGCACACCACTGCCACATCCTTCATATCCCAGCCGTCATCGCATACAGTGCCCCAGCGACCTTCCTGTTCCACCTCTACACGACCTTCACAGTGGTGGGGACCATTCACCAGACGCACTTTGGGTGGAGGCTCTGCAAACAGAAGGTGAAAGTACATTAAAAAACAAAAAAAACCCAAAGCAACCCCCAAATACACAAATCTCTACAGCAGTGGGGGAGTAGGACAGGGGTACGGTTACAGTCCTTGTCAATTGTTGATTGACAGTATCTGGAATCACCTAAGAGAAAAGTCTTCAGGCACCCCCTTTCAGGAACTGTATAGATTAGGTTGGCTGGTGGCCATGCCTGTGGGACACTATTGATTAGGTTAATTGAGCTAGGAAGACTTGTCTGCAGTAGGTACTGGTATTCCCCAGGCTGGGATCCTTGACTATATAAAAAGGAGACAGTTGGCTGTCATGTAAGACTATAGAGGCTGAGGTATAAGACTAAATGAAGAAAATAGCTTAAATTAAAGAAAGAACCCCTAGAGTTCATATACTCCAAAAATAAACAAAAATGACATTAATTTTTTGTTTCACAGAAAAAATATGCATAAACTGACAGTATGTAAGACCATTAACCAAATTTCAGTGATTTCTCTGAGGCAAAAATTTTACAGGCCACGTTTTAGTAAATGCTAAATATAAGAACATAGGATTTTAATAAATGCTAAACCCAACAACAAATGAACATCTAAGAATCTAATAATAAATGATTAATATAATATTTTTTATAAGAAATTATACATTTTTTATAAAATAATTGAATGACTATATTACACATATTGTAGACAATAAGCAAATGAAGACATCATATATCAAAAATTTTAAAATGAGATAAAGGTGGTATTTGGAGGAAAACATAGTTTTAAATACACTTGTTAGAAAACAAAAAGCTGAAAAAGAAGTAAATGAATTAGAAAAATACTTTGGATGAATAAGATGATATTGACTTGAAAATTAAAAATTTAAAAGGAAACCTGAATTTTAAAAAAAGAACAATATAATAGAAAGACCTCCGGTAAATCTGGTGAGAAAAGGCAGCCATTCAGGCACATTAAAAGTGAGGAGAGAACATAGTCACACACTGGAAACTAAACACCGGATATGGTGCTCAAGAGTCTGTGATAAATTTGAAAATCTAGACTTTCCTATTTAGCTCATCTTTGGAGGGCAAAGCACATAAACTGTTGTGTGAGGAGCTGAATGTAGCATAGGTGTGTACAGTGTACGTGTGCGCGAGGAAGCCAGAGGAGGACACCTCGCTGCTTCCACTAAGCTCCCTGCTCTCTTCTCTGGAAACAGAGTCTTCCGCAGGACCCCACCTCAGCAGTTTCAGCTAGTCTGGTAACCAGCAAACCATATGGTCGTCCTGTCTCCATTCCCTGAAGCAGCCTTGCCCGGGGAAGCAGTGAGGACCAAACCCAGGTCCTCACACGTGTGCAGTAAGAGAACTTACCCTCTCAGTCATCCTCAGCTCTATAATAATAGCCCTGTAACAAAACAGTGTTTTAAAACAATAAAAACTTGAAAAGGTTAATGAACAAAAAAAAATTTGATAGTAGAGGTAACAGTCTACCGGCCTCAGAATCTTTGACTAGTTGCAAAGTAGTAGATAATTTAAAAGTTGTTATAAATTCCTGAACACAGAGTTTGTTGAACCTCCCTGAAACCATTCTTATAAACCTAAGGCATCCCTAGCAAACAAAAACACAAACCTCATGTATTGATAGGATGCAAGGGGCAAATCATATGCTTAGCATGCCTGAAGTCCTGAGTTTGATACATAGCAATCAATAAATAAACAGATGCAAACATTTGACATAAAATATTAGCAAGTCATATAAAGCTACTGCCTATGATAGCTAAGATGGGTGTATAAGGGAAACTCAGCAGTGTTCCATATTAGAAAACTCACGAGTAAAATTGTCTCGAAAAGTGGATTAAAGAAGAAGAAGAAGAAGAAG